AATGGGATGTGAGTGAGGCATGTTCATGGCTTCTGAGAAATGTTCTCAAGAGCAAGAGACACGGCCCTTTCCTGCCTTTGTCTCCCTTGTGCCTGGAATGTGGATGTTATGACTGGAATCGGAACCACCACCTTGGATCAAGAGGTGAATGATGGCAGCTGCAGTTGAAGAGAGAGGCCGCTGGTGCATAATTAAAATTTTTATTTGAATTAAAAAAATTTTCTAAACCTTCTTCACAGTATTTTTTCCTGCATGCATTATTTTTATAATCAGAAAAAAAACAAAACACTAAAATTCTACCAGTTGAGGCCTATCTAAAATGTTGTTTCCTTTTAAAAGTTCCATGATTTTCTCATATCAAAATAAATAAATAAAATAATTGACAATTTGATTCTTAAACTATTCCACTGGTTTGGTTATTTAAAAAAAAGATATTGGAATACTTAGCAGAGGTTAGATTTAAACCCCTAATTTTTTTCTCTCTAAATACTCAAATCTTTCATCGAGTCTCACACTTAAGTGGCCCTGGTCTCCTGTGAAGTATCTGAACTCGGAGATTTTCCTTCACAGCAAAGGAGGGAGACTAGGGGCCATGGTGTTAGCAGAGGGAGAAGAAGCCGTCAGTTCTTTTCCATATTCCTGCTTTTCGGGAAGCTGATAAAATGCTTTCATTTAGAGAGGAGGTGGTTGCTGGGCCTTCTACTGGTTCCCAAGCTCAGACAAAGACAAGGAGCCCAGAAAGTGCTTTGCTGCCTCATCCTTGGACCCAGCCCCTTGGACGTGGCTCAGAGCCCAGGCCAAGCTCTCCTGCCTGCAGGTTTGGGAGAGGGGTTGGGAGACTGACTATATGCCAACCCCCCAGTTCCGACACTTAAGCCACTTGAAATCATCTCGGGGAACAGCAGCCGGGTTCTTGGACGGTGCAGTGGCCTCCTTGGTTTATAGTCTGACGCTCTTTTTACTTAGTGGGACGTGCAGAGACCCCTTTGCCTGATCCTTTACCCCGACCATGGGTTGTGTGCTCTGCAGGCACGCGTGACGGTAAAACCACAGTAAAGAGGCTCTTACTAGTCTAGCTTTTCCTGTTCAGAAGTGCGAAGTCTCAGCAAACCCAACATACAATTACGCCTTCATTATAAACAAAATGCAAAATTCTGCTTCTCTGGATCTTCTTGATCTTTTTACCCAAGGAGGCTCCATCCACAGAACCATCTCTCTCCCCACTGTCTCAGATTACACGACACATATGTGAGGTACAGGCCTTTGTGCTAGCAGCCAGGTAAACAGCTCGTTGCCGCAAAAGCTCATGACGTAGGGAGAGAGAGTGACACGAAGGCATCGGAAGGTAAAGCGCCAAGCGCAGAACTCAGTGGGAGCATGGCTAAGGGAGAGCTGGAGAGAAGGATGTTTGCACCTGTGGAAACTTCATAGAGGAGGTGAGTGTGAGTTCATCTTACAGGATGGATGGGGATGAAGGTCACCCCAGGCAGATGGGAGCCTGCGCACCACACAGGGATTGGCGTAAGAGGTGGCGGTGGTGACAGTGGACATTGTCACGCAAATCTAGAGACCAGCCGGGGGCTACTTTCTAGAGGGCTTTGAAGACCATAGACAACATTCCAAATGCAAAGGACAGTTCTGTACAATTTTGGAAGACAAAAGTAACAGGTGAACATCTGTGTGTCAGATGAGGGCGTAAAACACGAAGACCATTGAGGAGGGAATGTCCCCATGTCATGGCGGTGACATGGAAAGGAGCACAAGCGAAAGAGATGTGGGAGGAAGGAAAGGGCTGGGGGTGCGTTGAAAGGGGTGGGAGGGCAGCACGGGCTGACCCAGGAAGGTGGGGTGGGGTGAGGCGGCCCTGTGGGGACCCCGCTTTCTGCCTATATATGCGAGGTGTTTTTTGGAAGTGAACTGGAGAACCAGTTGACTTGGCAGCCTCAGGCTAATTCCCTAAGGAAAGAATTATAATCTCATTGCAAGCTGGATGTTTATCAAAGTCAGAACAAACCTTCCTGTAGAAGAGATGTCAGGGTAATTTCCTAGACTGACAGGAGGAGACCTTCAGGGTGGGGGACCCAGAACTGGGAAACGAACGAGGCTCAAATGAGCTACACTCTTGTGAAATTTCAGAACTCATTGGACCAAAGGGAATACTAACGGGGCTTCTAGAGTGAAATAAACAAATAACAATAATAACAATAAAACCCTATCACCCAGTGGCAGTATTCAAAATATTTAACACGTGGTGTGGCCTGGGCATCAGAGGGGTACTACAGGAAGTAACGCTAAAGTAACACTATAGGAAGTAACGCTAAAGTCACACTATAGGAAGTAACACTAAAGTAACGCTACAAGAAGTAACACTGAAGTTACACTACAGGAAGTAACACTGAAGTTACACTACAGGAAGTAACGCTAAAGTAACACTATAGGAAGTAACGCTAAAGTTACACTATAGGAAGTAACACTAAAGTAACGCTACAGGAAGTAACACTGAAGTTACACTACAGGAAGTAGCACTGAAGTTACACTACAGGAAGTAGCACTGAAGTTACACTACAGGAAGTAGCACCCTAGTAACAGGAAGGTCCTGCTATGCTGGGCTTCAGCCCGCCAGCTGTTTGGATCCCAATCACATGTATTTATTCTTGTGAAGGCGCCAGGAGTTTTAGCCAGCACTGCTCTTGTACTATCAGTGTAGGTGTCAACCCCGTGGAATTCCCATCTTTTATTCTACATGTATTAGTTGGCATTCCACTTTAAGGGAGAGCCTTCCTTCTCCTTTATTTGTCTTATATTGGTGTGGAGTCATGAACTCCTATTGGATTCAGTGGGCTATAACCTGTTTGATCATCACTTATTATTCAAATTGGTATAGATTTGGAAATCTTTTCGAGCTGGTTCACACCTGTTTCTTTCTGCCTCATGTTCCCCTCACAAGGAGGGTCTTGGCGCCCTGCACCTGTCACCAAGTGGCCTTGAAACAGCAGAGCCACGTGGACTCTGGACCTACACATATCTCTGGATGCTCTCCCTGGCTGGCGGCATCACATAGTCATATCTTCTCCTCTCACAGCATTTTTTTCAACCTTTGGCTTATTTGGCCTTTCCTGGAAGGGAATCAGGTTGTAATGCAGTCTTTTCAGTCCAGGGGAGTCATCAGTATTTACGCTACTTGAGAATTTCAGCCCATGTACTGCTGAAAAGTTTGTTTCCTCAGATTATTGACTCAACAAAAGACCTGGATGCCTACCTGGAAGATTTTCCTTTGCGGAGGCGACAGTTCTAAGCTCTCCTTGATTCTGATCTTGGACCAGTTATTTGTACTATGTGAACGGCCATATTTGCCAAACCAAACAGCCAGGCCCCCTCTTCCTGCAGCCTAAGCTGGCAGAGACGTGGGACAGGAGGGGAATTGTGCTTATGTGTTTCGTTCTCGTTCCACCTTTCTGTTTACTTTATTGTTTATTCATCATTGACATCTGAACACGGACAAGGATAAAGAAGTAATGACGGAATGGGAAAAGGGAAGTAATGTTTCAGGGCACTTCCTCATGTGGGCTACACACACACACACACACACACACACACACACACACACACACACACACACNACACACACACACACACACACACACACACACACACACACACACACACGCGGTGGTGCTCTCCACCAGCCTGCAACCCCTTCTACAATGATTGGTATTCTGAGCACTTGGAGTTCACCCCTGCTGTTAGGAGTTTTCCTGTCACAAATAAGAGCCCACACGGTGCTAAGTAAAGCTTGTGTGTGCGACAGCTACTGGGACTAAGGCTGGCTCAGGTGCAAAGCCTGCGGAATAGGTTGGCCTTCGGCCCGTCCAGGCCACAGGGACAGGAACCGTGACTGGCTGAGCCAGGAGGTGGGAACCCCTGTGCTTTCCTGGGTGCATGAGCAGAGCGCGGTGACAAGTCCATCTGCCTGAGCCAGGCCTTGTCCCTGAGGTGCTGTGTCCTCTATGTGCTCAAGGACCGGCGAGCGGGACATCACAGGACCATCAGTGGCAGCAAAGGATGGCGCAGTGGCTTCAGAAAGAGGCCTGGCTGCTGTCACATCAATGACTGCGGGAGGCCCAAGTCCTGGACTTAGGATGCTGCAGCCAGCTGGCTTCTCATAGAATAGCCCGCGATTTGGTCACTCGTCACCAGTAACATTATTATCTTGTTTTTATAAGTGAGGAAAGCAAGGTGCAGCGTGGTTAAATTAATTGTGTGTGATCACGAGACTGCTGTGGGGTTGAGTCAGGACTCTGACCCATTTGTGGCCATGGCCAATGGTCTTTAACTCTGCCACCCCAACAGAGGTCCTTTATAAAGGAGAGACAAGCTGACAAGTGTGGTGGGAGGACAGAGGTGTGCCCAGGGGTGGCAGGCAGGACTCAGAGGAGCAGAAGGGAAAAGATGAAAATTGGGGAGTGCAGGTGGGTGGCAAAACATTGCCAGATGATCTCTCTCTCTCTCTCAGTGAAAAAAGGGTTTCTGCACCCGCAAACACAGGTGTACTGCTGCAAAGGACTTCAGCATCCGTCTGCTGCCTGGCACCTCATCGGCCACCAGGCTGCAGGCTCACAGCCCGAGGCCTTCTCAGTTCGTAAGGGCACCGCAGGCACAGCTTTGGCAGGGGTCCAGCGAGGCACAGCGGCTTCAGCCCAGCCTTCCCAGCGCCCCTCATCTCTGCGGACAGAGCCACCTGGCTCTCCTGTCACCTTTCGAACGCACTTCTGCCTTCAGAAAATCAGCTAAGCTTTGTTCCAGAATGCCAGCTGGAACCCTGGGGTTTGGGTCTAGCACCCCCGGGAAGCCAATGGCTTAGGACCGTCCCAGGAAGACGTGTGGCCCAGCTCCCCTGTGTCTACTCTTCCCCTCTGTGTCTTCCTACTGGTCTTTCCTGGGCCAGAGAAGAGGGGGAGGAGGGGAAGCCGGTGGAGGCAGCCATCGCTCTCTGTGTCTCAGCTCTCGCTCTCTTCTGCTGTCATAACTTGGCAGCCACTTATCACCAGATTTTGAGTTGTCCTGTAAGATCGATACATTCGTTTCCTCAAATTCACGTTCAAGGAGCTGCACGTTCTTTCAACTGGTACTTCATCCCCACATATAGGGAGAGAGTCTAATTGTACATAATCCTGTACAATATATGGGGTCCCTTGATAGTTTGTGGCTTTCCTAATGTTTGGGAACAGACTGGGGCCTGTAGGCATTCTGTAAAATGCTTACTTTGAATTGATGAGAAAATAGCTGTGCTTAGATATTAAAATGTCTGATTTCTACCCAAGATGAGTCCTTTAAAAACAATAAAGCACATTTCCATAAAATCAATGCATGTTTTTAGATAGGACTAGTAACATCCCAGGCTGCTTGGTATTTATTTCATGCAAATTAGTAAAAATCACATCAATGGCTAATTTGAAACTCTTACTGCCAAAGCAGTGTAACCTCAGGTATCACCCAAGTCAGCTTCTTTATTCAGAGAACATAAAACAAAGTAAGGAAAGCAGTTCTCCCGCCTCCTGTGTGAAGCCCACTCCAGAAGTGCAGCATGTCGCCGAGTCACCCCTCAACCTCCTCTCCCCCCAGTTACATATATCTAAAGCGGATAGAACAGCAGAGAAGCTGGCACGTCTGGAAGTGACATGTCCGAAGGGGACACTGTGCTTAGACAAGAGAGCAGGGCCCGCCATGAAAAGCACTTTGTTTCTCATCGAGGAAACACATCCAGGCTCCGTTGTTTAAATGGCATGGACTTTGGAGCGGGCCTCAGTTCGAACCAGCGCTGGCCCTCTGGGTGTATGTGACCAAAAAGCGTATTGTTGAGAAAGTTACCTCCTGTCTTTGAGATGCCATTTCTCCATATGCTAAATGGGAACAATATTACTGACCCCCTGACCTTGGCAGGGTGCATAAGGACAAATTCCTGTGCCCAGCACAGAACAGGTGCTCAGTGACTACCCAGCACATGGAGGACAGCAGCACCTGGAGCCCGGTTCCTTTCTCTGCCCATTGAACTCTCCGAATAGACACCTGCGTGCGTTTCTTTTATCATAGACAGACCATCTGCTCTTGGGACTTTAGAGGTGGTAGACCTCAGGGACCCTCTGGTCCAACCCCCTCACTGTAGAGGGGTGGGGATTTACCCAAGGTCACACCCAGCCGTGAGGAGCAGAGCCCAGATGGGCTCCTTGAAGGAGGAGAAGAAACTGTGCTCCTTGTCCACCTGTGATGAAGCCACACTGACTTACAGGATGGGTGCAGATTTCTTTCGCCTTCTCATTTTAGAATCTGTAGAGTCAGCACAAGCTCATGCTTTTGAAGCTCCTTTGTTACTGGGAAATGCATATGGATGGACCGGATCCAGTGGATTTTGTTGTTTTGTTGAAAAGAAAGGAAAACTGAAGCTCCCATCACCTGCCAACTAGTCTTGATGCCCCTCCAACCCAAACGTGCGCACAGCAAAGCAGATGAACAAACCGATGGGGTGTCTCCGACTGCTGAGATGAGTGCAGCTTAAAGCCCTTTCTTCATCCTGGAGTTTGCTGGTAACATTTCTACTTCCTTGGGTTTTTATTTTATTTTTTCCCCTAAGTTAAAGGGTGCTAGAATCGTGGGGCCGGAAGGGACATTGGTGAGGACTCTCTGGTCCAGTCTCCTCATTTCAGAGATGAGCGGATGGGGCCAGAGGAGAAAGCCCGCACAGGGAATGTCCGTAAGACCCGGGACCGGTCAGGTCTCGTAGCTCCCGCTCCAGGAGACATTCCCTGCCCACAGTGCTGCAGGTTCTGATGTTTCCTTGCTGAAGTTTGTTTATTAAGACCATGTGGAAAGCGCCTTGACGCGCTTACATGCATTCAGGACCAAGATAAATGGAATGAGATCTGTCTGTATTGGGGACACTGAGCAAACCATGGACTCACCTTTCTCTTAATAATATAGGCTAGGACGATGCCATTTTAGAACACCAAATGCATTCTTGGGAAATAACATGACCGTGTGTTCTTTCTGCAGAGCTATCCTAAATCACAGGGGCAACCACATGGTTTGACCTATAAAAATTGTTCCCGTCTCACTTAGCAACCCTGCAGCCCTCTCTTACCTGGAGGGCAAACATCCCGACTCTGCACAGTGAACTGGGGAGCCTTTGCCAAACTCATCGTGCGGCACAGAATGCCACCCAGGCTAAAAGCAGGAGGGACAGGCTCTGGAAGCCTCATCGTCTCTTGCCTGAATGGAAGAGAAACCACAGTACGGAAAATAAATTAACTGCAGCTTGACAAAACATAATATAGAGTAACAAAAGCCACCCCAGGAGACCACCTAAACTGGGGATTTATTTTTAGAGTGATGAAAATCAGGCAAAATGAAATAATATAAGGTTTAGAAATGCACCTATTTGTGATAAAAAATTTTTTGTTTAAAGCAAGAGAATGATTAAGCACACAATTCAGGATGGTGCTTATATCCCAGAAGGCTGCAGGGGGACGTGATAGGAGAAATTCAACTCCTATACAGGATGTTCCAATGATGCAAAAATACCCCAGAGCTTTCCTCTGTCTGTCATGACTGAGAAAAGTTAAAACTCAAGTCAAGAGAATGGGAAGGGAGTCATGGGGAGAAGAAAGGAGGGTTGTTCTTCTCCATCTTCCCTCCAGAACCACAAACATGGATGAAGCACTTGGGCAGACAGGTGAAGGAGTGAGGTTGTCTGCTCCCTTATGGGGATGGATGCAGAGAAGGCTGAGGAATAACATGGGGGTGAACAGGAGCCGTGAGGACTGTGTGAGCCCCTGCCTGCCGGCCCTCCCATCCGGCCATGGTTGCCTGAAATAGGGTCAGCTTTCACAGGACCTGGTCATTTCCAGCAAGGCAGGTAGACAAACAAAGCCTCACCCACACCAGTGCATGGAGGCTAGCCTTAGTGTTCCTGTTCTAAACCTCATTGTCAGCATTCCTGGGGGGTACACCTGGAGGCAATTCGGGGTCACTGTATATGGACCAAGTCTCAGCTTTCGTCTCTAAAGCTAGTTGCATCGGCCCGGGCCACACGATCAGCTGTGTCTTGGTTTCTCAGCTGCCTTCTAGTTTCATCCTGAGGCTGATGCCTAACCCTGAACTTGGACCCACTTAGCTGGGCCCAGATACCCCGTTCCAGTCTCCAGTCCTTCTTCTGTGGTTTGGACCCTGCTCTCAGATCCCCATTAGCTTCCCAGGGTTCTGCTCCGCACTGGGTAGAAGGTGCATAACTGCAGGACCCAACATCCCTGGCATCCCCAACAGTCTAGAACATACCCCAGCCCACCGGGACACTCCCTACATCAAGCCTCCACCCTCCCTGCCCGATGGAGGCTGTGATGGTCACCACCCCAGAGAATGTCTACCCTTCCCCGAGCGCTGGTTCCCACAGATCTCGCCTTGCTGTGTGCATTGACCACTGTCTACCAGCAGTTTCTCTTTCTCTTACTCACTGCTCTAGTAGCCTCAATTGTTTAGACAGTTGTCAGAGGATCCTTGCTCTTGGCAGGGTGAGCCACTGCTCCAGCCTAAGGGGATGAAACAAGACTGCCCTGCAGGGGTCATAGCCAGCTTGTTGGCCTTGGCCAGCCAGGGTTTTGGCAAATGATAGACGACCAGTTTCTAGATGTCCCGGTCCCAAGGCGCTAGACTCACTCGGCATGCCTGTTCACCTCTTTATCCTCCCCACTGCTCCCCCAACCCACCCCCCGCCCCGTCTTCTTGACTGGGTTTCTGATTTGTTATCTGCAGGCACAACATACATCCTGCAAAATAGCATGATGACAAAACCAACACCATCAGGATGGAGTGTAGGAAGGTCTTTGGCAGAAGGAAAGGTCTCTCCTGATGAAAAAGGACAGTCGTCTGAAACTTACCCGACTCCTCCAGGGGGCGGGCGGCAGTGTGGAATCCTAATGGAATTCGCAGCCCCTTGGGGTGGGAGGAGCTTTGCTCTGGCCCTGGGAGGAAGAGAGGGGTGGTTAGTTGTGTGGGTTGATTCCTTAGTGGGGAGGTGGCTGAGTACCATCCTGGCAGCCAACTGTGTCCAAAAGCTATTCTTGGAAAGGTTGTCCAGGCTGTGACAGACTCTGCCGAGATAATCTGTTCCCCTCACTGCCACCCCTTCCTGCTAACAACTCTGCCAGGAAACCCCAGAGAAGCATTTTTCAGGCTCGTCCAGGAATCCCATGACCCTCCTACCAGTGAAGTCCCAGGGCTGCTCCTTGGTTTGCAGGCTCCGTGGGTGGCAGGGCAGGCTGTGAAGTCAGGACCGGAAGCTGAAAGCAGCAGGTCCCTCAGAACATCTCCCTGGGCTGTTCTCAGCAACAGCTGGGCCTTGGGGAGCTGAGGGAGGCTGTGAGGGCGGATGTGAGCAGATGGTGGTGAGGAGGGCAGCTGACCTGGTGGGAAGGGGACTTAGCCTGGAAGTGCCAACGGGGTAAAAGAAACAGCCTCGTTGGGAAGATGTGTGGCCTAGCACCAGATGGGGTCGATATTCTGAGAGGCAGAAGCTGAGAATGAAAATACCTGGGAGGCAGATAAAAATATGGGAAAACATTTGTACATCCTTGGGGAAATGGCTTTCTAACACAAGATGCCCAAAGCAAATACCATAAAAAAATTGATACAATAAAAATGTTCAAATTATGTTTCACCAATAATACTTAACAATATATCATGTGTATGATTAGAATGTTGAAAATGAGAATCCGGGACACAGTGAACTCCCATAAGTCAATAAAAAGGAGACAGATATTCCAATAGAAAAAGGTCAGACTTCTCGTGTGGCAGCTGAGGGGAGAGGGTCCCTGCACATGACCCCCAGCCACCTTTGTGGGGGGGGGGGTGCACGTGCGTGTGTGCATGTGTATGTGTGCACGTGCGTGTGTGCATGTGTGTGTGTGCACGTGCGTGTGTGCATGTGTGTATGCACGTGCGTGTGTGCATGTGTGTATGTGCACGTGCGTGTGTGTGTGCACGTGCGTGTGTGCAGCTTTGTTCACTCTGGGACGCTAGCCTTGGTTTTTCACAGACCCGAGACCTGTATTGGCACAGAGTGGGTCAATACATGTTTGTTGTCGTGAGCCGAGCTTCCTCAGGGCTTGCTGGCTTAACGCTCTGTGGGTCTCTTCAACCTCCCAGGGGCCGGAACTGATCCTGACTGCGGGCTGACTGGTTTTGTGTTGGGAACCCAGGCAGCATGGGGGCTGACCTGCAGGAAAGTACCCCCAGCTATGGTCCCCAGCAAGGTTCACGTGATTTTCCCTATGTCCCAAATGGCAGTGTGATATTGCATTTTACATGTTCCTGCATCAGCAAAATGGGAAAGTAATTTCTCTCTCCCCGTGTGGATGTGCGCAGTTCAGCACAGTGTCTGGTGTACATGTAAAAAAATCAATATGGATTATCAACTATTATTTTTTCTTTAGTTAATTCTTTCACTGTCCCAAGTATTAATTATCACTTTACTGAATTGTTGAGTGCATTCCTTTTGGTTAATGTAATGGGCGGTGTTCGGAACCATCCTTTCTTCTGGAATGCCAGCAGGCCTTTTTCAGCTAGGGTACCTAGAGGAAAAGGTACCCAAGGAGGGAACCTAGCTAGCACAATTCTAGAAGGGTTTGGGAGAAGTTATCAATTACACCCAGTGGACTTCTGCAGGCATTAGGGCTAGATTCCCGGGAACTGGGGCTGGCTTCGATGAGCTGCATCAAGGGAATATATTTAAGGAAACTCTTCCTAACCCCTCCTGTTCTCACTTTTACAACCACATTCCAAATCTCCCTGTTGCTGGTGCCTATAGCCAATTTGGTTTCTTGGGCCTTAACATGTTATGTATTGAAACTTTGATGTACGATGCCTAAGACTCAGATACGTGGATCAGCGCCTCATTTAAAGAAACAAGATCCAAACAGAATCTCCAGGTCGTAGCTGGCGCCCCTTTGGGCCTCATGAAAGCTCTCCAGCCCTCCCTACTCTCTTGCATCTTACAATGAAGACGCCTTTCTGTTAAAGGCTGAATGTTTGTGTCTCTTCAGCCCCCAGCTCACATGCTGAAGCCCTAACCTGTCCACCCCCCCCCCCAGTGTGATGGTCTTTGGGAGGGGATTAGACTTAGGTGAGTCCATGAGGGTGGGGCCCTCATGATGGGATTAGTGCCCTTATAGAAGAGACACAGGGAGCTCGCTCTCTCTGCCATGTGAGGACACGAGAAGGTGGCTTTCTGCAGCCAGCAAGAGGCTCTCACCAGAAAGTGAGCCCATCAGCACCTTGACCTTGGATCGCTCAGCTCCCAGAACTGTGAGAAATAAATGTCTGTTGTGTAAGCCGCTCAGTCTGCGGTATTTTCTTATGGCAGCCCAAGCTGACTAAGGGACTCTCACTCTAGAGGGCTCTTATCCTGTGTCTGTGTGTCCATCGTTGGCCATCCCAAAAACCTGCGTTCTTGGCCCAAAACGCCCCCCTGCATGCCACATCCTCCCTGCCACCCACGGTGCCCGGGGACTGCATCCTCCTTCCATCGGTGGCTTTCCCAAGAGACACTTCCCCAAAGGGATTTTGTTCCAGGGAGAGAGATCAGGGAGAAGAGAAACTTAAACAAGAAATTGCTAAATGCTTTGTTGTGAGTGGAGGGACGGGAATGGCTATGAACTGACTGACGTACATTGAATTTGGTCTCAGCACAATTGCCAAAGTAATATATATTCATTATAAACATCCAAACAGCATAGAGGTATAGAAAACAAATAGTAAAATTCCCTCCTTGCCACTTTATTATTTCACATTTCACTCCCTACTCACCATAGGTCTCTACCATGAATGGGTTGACATTAGTATTTCCAGATTGTACATGTGTGTGTGCGCGTACATGCACACACACACACACACACACACACACACAGGGGTAGGTATATACACAGATACAAGCTTTTTTAAAAAACAAAAAATACTATTCGGCAACTTGCTTTCCTTTACTGAAAACTATATCATGGGAACATACCCCCATAATTTTGCTTATGGGTTTATCCTGTTCTTTTAAACAACTGCACGGGATTCCATGCTACGATACGCCACAATTTATTTAATAATTTTGTTTTTGATAGACACTAAAAACATTCCATTTTCCCCCTCTATTACAAATAATATTTTAGAGAACATTGTCATTCCTACGTGTTTGTATAGTTGCTTGAATATTCATCCTAGGCAGCTCAGGCTGCCAAAACAAAATACCATAGGCGGGTGACTTACACAGCAGATGTGTCTTTCTCACGGTCCTGGAAGCCGGGACTTCTGAGATTAGGATTGCCACCATGGTCAGGTTGTGGTGACAGCGCTCTTCCTGCTTGCAGGGACTGGCTTTCTTGCTGTGTGCTCATATGGCAGAGAGTCAGTGAGCTCTGGTCTTTCTCTTCTTATGAGGACACTCATCCCATCATGGGGTCCCACCCTCAGGACCTCCGCTAACCCTAGGTACTCCCCAAAGGCCCCACCGCCTAATACCATCACACCGGGGATGAGGGCTTCAACATGTGGATTTGAGCGGAGACATGTTCAGTCATGAATGGTATTTAAGTAGTTGACTTCTACAAGTGAAATTACCATATCAAAAGATGCACACATTTAAAATTTTTATTGTCTTCCAAAAAGTTTATGACACTTAATATTACCACCAAAATGTGTGTTGAAAAGGAATTATCATTTTGTTTTCATTGGCCTTCTCTTGATTGTTAGTGAGGCTGAACATATATTTTCAGAAGTATTATTAGTCGTTTGTAATTCTTCCAAGATATGTCTGTTTAGACACTGTCAAATTTTTTTTGGCCCACTTAACTTCTTTTATGAATCCAATGGAATTCTTCATATTTTAGGATATTAATCCTAAATATATCTCAAGATTTTTCTCCTCATATGAACTTTCCTACTGTGTTTTTTTTTCCTTTAAAAACAATAAAGAAAAATTTAGGTGGCCATATTGCTAATCTTTTTCTTTATGGCTTTGGAATTAGCATAACCTTCCCATCATAAGATTCAAAACCAGAACTGTTCCCTTCAGCACTGGTGGTTTCTTTCTTTGATGAGTCCGTGGGTTGCTTAAATGGAACATGGCATGTAAGAGTTCATACTGCACGAGTCTCTGGGGATGGGGGGTGGGAGGAAACTTCCCAAATGTCGGGGTGGCGGGGGATGAGAGAGAAGTGGCCGAGTCGGAGGCCCCTTCGCACAGGTTGTGGTTCATTCATTCCTCAGCAGAATCACACTTCTGTTCGCTTTGGTGATCTGAGGACACAGACCTTTGCTTGCCATGGAAAGTATCTCTGGCACCCAGGAATTCCCTCTTGGTTCTGTGGGGTAGGAGGAGCTGTGAAGGAGGCCTGGGAAGGAGAAATCCTGGGACTCCTCCCACTTGTGTGAACAGGCGTGAAATAAGTGTAGGATCGGAAGAGCTTGTGCACAGCACGATGGCACTGAGAAAAACCTAGGGGCTGAGGGGGCCGAGCGTCCCAATCCCACTCACACTCAGGGAACCTCCAAACATTCAAACATCATCAGGTCACTTGGGTGTGGACGGCGAAAGTGGGAGAGGCTGGTGGGAGGGGAGGGCAGGATGGATACGGGAACGATGTACTTTCTGCTCAATTTTGCAGTTTTTGAACCTAAAACTGCTCTAAAAATAAAGTTTATTAATGAATTAACCAAGTTATTAGGAATGAACATCCACAGTAGGTCAGATAAGATCAATAATATCAACAATGCATTGTTAACCAAGAATACAATTATTTTTATAAGGTACTTATGACAAAAGAACAATGAATAATGTACATCTAATTGTTTAATACTCAATATACAGTCAGCATGTTCTGATCAAAGGTGTAAACCATATAAAAGAGAATCTCGCCTTTCATTTGTACAAATATTGCTTTCAACATAGCAAAACTTTACAATGTTAAAACGTACCATGTATAGAAGTTATAAAGTTATTGCTTATTTCAAAATGAAGTTATTGCTGTCTGTTCTGCTAATTAGTTACATTGTCACCTCTAATCGATAGGACCTCTTCTTTTCCAAAAGATTATATTATATAGCAAGATTATTTTGTAGCCAAATTAGGTCAAAAAGTTTTCTTTTTTTAAAAAAATAAGTAAATGCACGTAAAAATGCATATATTTAAGTTTTCCCTTGTAGTTTTACTTGCTAGGTGATAGGTGGGGATTCTTAGTACTTCTGCTGGCAATTCAGAAAGGACACACTTGCATACTGTGGTTGTGCAGATATATACGTGGAAGAGAAAACAATGCTAATAGCTTGTTTCTATCCCAGATATAATCTATGAAAAAACTATAACAAATGTTTTTTTAAAGCAAGAATGCTCTTGTTGGACTCTTGTTTTTATACAAGTCATCCAACTACTTATGCAATCCTTTTGACGTCTACCCTTTGACTGTAACTGCCAAGTCCATGTTTTCTTCCATCCTTGGGAATAAAGGTTACTTGGTTGCTAGAGGGAGGTCAAAAAGTGGGTTGCACAAGCAGCAAGAACGCACATGATTTTTATTTTACTACCAGACCGCCTTTAGCAGAGGAAGTGGAAACAAGTTATCTGTTCTATATTTCCTTCCTTTTCATTGGTTGGTTAGACCCTTTCCTCTCTAGCGCTTGGGCAACTGTCCTAGAACTTCTGTCCATCCAGGTTCCCGATGCTCGGCGATGGATGCTGAGGGCTTTGTGGCTTAGTGTTCTCTCAATCCTGAAGTACCTACATCAGCAGAATTTGCCTGCAAGTCCACATACTTGTGGCTGGTCCCTAGGTGGGGGTTCTCAACCTTAGCTGTACATCAGAATGGCTTTTGGAGCTTTAAAAAGTGCAAATCCTGGGATACACCCCTAGAGCTTCATATTGAGTTGGTCTGAGGCGCTGCTTGCCTCAAGGTTCTCCAAAGCTGCTCAGCTGATAAAGTAATTGGCATCCAAGTCAGATTAGTATATAGAAGCCAACAAAATGCTATATAGTAGTGCTTTTCTTACATTTTCAGGGGCACGCTGACAGATGAGTGGAGTATGGTACGCAATTGGATCCATCTATTAGTGACAATGGACAGCAATTCTTTCCCACTAATATTGCCTCAAACGGACGCAACGGAACCTGCTTCAGACCAACACTAAGCTACATGTGCGTCCCGCCTTTTCTCATTATTAAAGATACCATTCTCCTCTTCATCAGCATAAGGAGCTAAGCTTAGCTCTGCGATACAGTGTGCCTTTTTATAAGAGATAGGGAGACTTTTCTCTTGCTTCAATTAAATCCCTTTAAACAAAGATTTCAGTTTCAAATTTTGATTCTCTCCCAGCCTTTCTGAAGTAATCTGTTTCCTTTAGTGGAAAAATGAGTTTTCCTAAACATACTTTACAAAATTCAGTGCTACCTAAGAGGATAATGTTCCTCAAAAAAGTTACAAAAATAGATTTACATTAAAAAAAAAATCCTGAATGTGTCTTTAATAGTACAAAAGTATATATACCCCTGATGTTGCAGGTGTGGTGGAAATCGAGGCAGGGGTTTCTATCCAGGTAGGTTTTACAGCCCCAGGCGAGGAAATAAACAGGCCAGAGGGGTAGGTTGTAATGGTGCTTCTCCAAAGAAAGAACTGCGAAGCAGACATTCAGGACAATTGTAACAGCTGTCCCTCTGCGTGAACAGCTCATTCACTGGCAGAGGAGACAAGAGTTTCTAATTCACTCCTTAGAAAATGCTAGCAGTCTCAGGGCTTTATCCAGGCTCAGAGTTGGGTACCTGCCACGTTCAGGATGAGTGAGCTGCTGGGGACAAGGAATTAGAGGCTTTTGGAATGGCCATTAGTGGCCGACTCTCAGGCATATTAGGGACTGGAAACTGTTCAGCCGCTGCCTCTGGGGCTCTTTGCCACACCCCGATTGTCTGGTTCTGTCCTGACTGGCATGGTGTAGACGCACAGGCTCACACAACTGAGGGTGACCTTAGAGATGAAGGTTTCAACTCTGGTTGCCCATTAGAGTCACATGGGGAGCCCCCGAGATTCCGATTCAATAGGTCTGAGGGGACCCCAGTCCCCTCCTTTTTAAGCTCACCAGGTGACTCTAGTGGGCAGTGAGGGTGAGAACTTGGAGTCACCATAACCCAACAGCCTTGTCTATACTTGTGCACCCCAAGGCCTGCGGCGAGTGAGCTATGAGCCATCAGCCAAGGGCCAGGTTGCCCCTGGCAGAGCCTTCCCTGTACAGTGGTTCCCAAAGCTTCATTGCCCATCAGATAACCCCCCAGGGAGCTCGGAAAAGTCCCAGGGCCCAGGCTACGCCTGAGACAAATTCAATCACGATCGTTTTGGTTGGGACCTGGGAGGTTCCCAGGGCAGCCAAGTTTGAGGACCAGTGCCTTCGTCTTTATGAAATTCATGGTTCCTTTATGTCTGCAGTTTCAGGGGTAGGGGGTGGGGGACTAACGTTCAAAATTAAGAATTTTCAACAAACACCTAAGCCTTGTTGTCAACTGGAATTCACTATGATGCCTGCACAGTGCTCCTAGTGATAAAATCAGTGACAACCTGGACTCAGCAAATTTAGAGTTTGGGAAATTCATCTCTGTTTTACTTCAGGAAGTGACAGATGTATTTTTCATAGAGAGCGATTATGGGGACGCCTTAGAGATTATCTGAGAAGATGTACATAAGGATGGTGGTCCACTGCAAACGTTAGCTTCTAATTCTTCCTTTCCCCCGAATGGTTTCCTAAGGCCAGGTCTGAGGCTGGACCATGGGGCAAGGTTCCAGGAACCAAATGACGACGAAACAGCAGACAGGCTCTGGGCAGCACCTTAGGGACTGGTGTAAATGAGGAAGAGCCAAAGGGACAGAGGATAAGCTTTGATATGTGGCCAGTCAAAGCCATCACATGGAAATACTGCAGCTCGGGAGCCCCTCTCCTGACCCTCCACAGTGACCCCAGGGCCTTGGCTCTCTCTGGCTCTGAAGCATCTACAAGCCCCGTGCACCTCCCTGAACAGGTGTGATGACACCACTTTGGGAAACACAATCTTAAAGTGAAGGGAATCTATCACCTGGATTTTAGGCAGGGAAACTGAAATACAAAGGAGAAGAACCAGCTCGAATAGTTTTTGCTGTTTTATTATGTTATAGTAAAATACTTCAAATTACAAAAATACTAGCTTTTAACTGCTACAATTTGACTGGCTACAGTTGCCCTCCCTCATCAATCACCTGTTTCTTGACATATAAGCGACAGTGGAATGTGAGTTGTCCTGGTTCCCAGTGCTGAGTAAACATCTATAATATTTTTCTATGGTCCCAGGTGAATGAACAATAAAAGTGGTTTAATGACCATGGCGTCAAATTTCAGATTCTTAGAAATGTTGTTTAATCTTCTCACTCATCATTTTAAAATTCCTGGTGGGGACACCAACATCCCCAAGTGGGGAACGTGGAGAACGATGCCAAATTCCCAGGATTAAAGGGGCAGCTGGTTAACATGACTTAGCTTGGCTTTTAAACCAACGTTCTTAGTCATTCCTCAGGCAGAAGCTGTCCTGGATGGAGTCCCCTCTACTGGGAGAGGACTTTCCATTTCCCTTGTGTCTCAGCCCCTGGCCACCTGTCAGCCCCTGTGGGTCTGCCTTCTGGGGGAGCCCTCCTGGTCTCCCCAGGTGGAATCCGCGACTCCTGCTCTGCCATCACAGGGCGGGGCTGACATGTCTTGTCTAGCCTTTGCCATATCGTTTTAAGGTTAGCATTTGTGAGTCGGTTTCCTTTGCTATACTGTGAGTTTCTTGGAATCAGGGATTATGTTTTATTTATTTTTGTATCTTTAGTACCTATGCTGGGCTGGTTTAGGTGCTAAAGAGTATTTGAGAACATGATGGAATTAAATCGAATATAGTTTATGTTTCCATCGAGACAAAATAAAATATTTTGGCAACAAAACTGTGGGGCCCTGATCTGAGAGTCCATAGAAAACTCAAAAGGCAAAGAAAAATTACGTATGTGTGGGGTCAAATACATCCACAGGCCAAAAAGATCATCTGACACATTTCTTCCTTGATAAAATGGACGGGTGCATGTTGACTAAGAGTGTTTAAATCACTGTTGGCAAAGGACTGCCACTAGCCGATCAGGTGTCCTTCCTCACTGGATCCTCCAATTATAGAGACATTTTTTTTTTTTTAAGAGGGAAAAAATATTTTTTCTTCTAATGTGCCTGTAGATGCTGTGAAGGCATTATCATTAATTTCAGACTCGAGTTTCATATTTACCTCTTGGATTCCACAGTAGACATAGGGTTTTCTTTATTTCCACCTACAAAATGTGCCCACGTGGGGAGGGCTGTAAGTGCTTGCAAAGTTGCCCGAGAGCCTGGGTCCTTTTATTTACAAAGGGCAGGGAGAGGCTTTGGGGACAGCTCACCAGGGAGAAACAAAGTACCCTTCGAGTAAAAAAAAACTTTTAAAGTGAAACAGAAAGAAAATTATCTTCCGCAAGTAGCCTAAACCAATTCTTTTTGGGGGGAAGGCTAAATGAGTTTTAATGGCAGCTTCATTTTTGCAGTCTCCTGATACATGCCCACCCCCTGGCCCCCAAAGGACTCAATGGCTTTCCTCGGAGACTCAAATCTGGGGGGATATGTTTTTGTCTAAGCTTTTGCATTGTGGTCCCATCTTAATTAAAGGCTACTGAATACTGATGAATCAAATATGAGTTGATCTGGGTTATTGTTTGATGTACCGTCTCCTCTTGCTGGTGGGGAAAGCATATTGAGTTTCAAAACAATGGAATGGAAAATAAACAAGAAGTCTAATGCTTATAATTAGAAAACACTGCTCAACCGATGGAAAGTGAATACCATGGAGAGATTTATATAAAAGTAAGTCTGAGGAGGAATCCTACTTTCCTCTGTTTCTTCCTTGCCCAGAGAAATCAAAGTGGCTTCTCTTCTTGTACCTGCCATGACGTGACATGACGAGTCCTGGAGGTCTACTGGTTTATAATTGTGTTGTGATGGAAGCGCCTGGAAGCAGAGCCCATGGAATCGAGGGTGAGCAGGAAGACTGGCCCTTGCTTCATCGTCACAGACGGGCCTGGGTCAACTTAGAGCAGCAGCTGCTGCGTACGGGCCCGTTCTTCCTCATCGGAAAAGCCCAATCCAAACAAAACCAGTAATGACAATTCAAAACCCCAAAGGTCCCCACGCAATGAAACTCCTTATAGATGCGGTTCTTGTTTCGAATATGCCTCACTGAAAGGTCCACTTCTGCCCAAATGGACAACATCCTTTCTAGATGCCCCTGCTGGAAGCTTCCCAGGCTGTGAGACAGAGGAATGTCCTTGCAACTTCCCAAAGCACCTCCGAGTAGGGGGCACGTCCTGGATGAAAGGTGGGCCGATCAGAGCAAATACGGCCCAACGAGTCGCCAGGTCCAGGAGTTCACGTGGGCATGGCTGTCAGGCCTGGAGGAGCTGCTGGGCTTGGTCCTGGGGGCTGATGAGGCTGGGGTTGTCATGGCTGGGCTGCTGCCACTATCATGCTCCAATAAATTCACTGCTCGGTGGTGCTACCCTTAGGTACTCTGCATTTTCAGCTGCAGGACCCTTAAAGATGCCATTTGACCTGGCTTCCTTCGGGAGGAAGTCCTGCTGGTAGTCAGGGTTGTCCAGGCTGATTTGGTGGTTCTGCACCCAGGGGCCAGGCCCGTCGAGCCCACTACTGACGCGGGCAGGATGGGTGGTATTGAGATACTCAGGGTTGCCCACGGCGTTGCTGTGCGGGTTTTGGTAGTGAGGGTCTCTGCCAGGAGCTGGGTTTAGAGGCTGATTGTGATAGACCGGGTTTTGGACAGAGCCCGCGGGCCTTTTGGGAACGGACTGGTTTATGTATTCTGAAATGGAAAAGAAATCAGAGGTCATCAGCATCGCCCCAGCAGAATTCCACGGCTCCTTCTGAATCCTGGGACTGTTCTGCTAGGAGGCACCTGCTGACAGAGAGGCCTGGGGACCACAGGCTCACTACTGCTGCAAAATAAATGGGGTTCTTTTCGGCACTTCTCAAAGCAATGGTTATATTTATCTTCCACCAGTTTAAGTGGCCGTGAGGGTGTGTGTGCAGGCAGGCTGGCAGTGTCTGGGGGCAAAGCTTAGATTAGGAAAATACATGGTCCATGGGTCAAGAGTGGGGCCAGGAGAGAGAATGGGGACTGAATCAATC